AAAAGATAAATATCATTAAAATAAAAAGTAGATTTTACAAGAAAGCAAAATCTAAAAACTATACATCCTTGGCAAAAAAAGATAAAAAAACAAGGAAGCACAAAGATTGGTTTTGGGGAACCATTGGATATCTTTCAAATTTCGCTTACCCAATAAATTATCTGATTTCTTGATACAACTGATCATGAAGAAGACAACGACTGCTTATTTTATTTTCCGACTGGTAAGGGAAGAAGGTATTTATAAAACGATAATCTGGCTTGGGCTGGGCTTTTATAGGTTGGGCTTTTGTGTTTTGCTTGAAAAGTCAGATTTATCCATGTGTCCTCATAATAACCGTAGATTTATTCCCCATACCTTACTATATAAATATGGACTGTTGTTATATTTCACATTTTTTCTCTCGGATTAAGCCTACGTCGTTAAAACGATCCACTCCTCTTCACCTCCACCGTCCATTTTCCTCCGTGATTACATCAATGGCTACGATTCAAAAGCAAGAAGGCATGATCCGAACCATTAGGCTCAAGCCAAGAGGTCCGTAAAATCAAGCCACTACAAGGACCAAAGAGACCATCGACTAAGGACCGTCACGTAAAAGTAGAAGGACGAGGACGAAGGGTACGGATGCCTGCCACGTGTGCGGTTAGGATTTTTCAGTTAACTCGAGAGCTTAATCTCAAATCGGACGGAGAGAGACAATCAGGTGGTTGCTGGAGCACGCTGAGTCTTCAATCATAACCGCTACTGGAACCGGAACTGTTCCTGCAATCGCTACGTCGGTTGACGGATCGCTTAAAATCCCAACCGCAAACGCGAATTTTGAAACGGTTGAGAATTTAATGAAGAAGAAACGGAAACAACCTTGTAACAGTGAGTATGTAGACTTAAACGTAAAGAATCTCACGTGGGAACGTAAAGAATACATTTTCTTACGAACCAGACAATTGATTTCATTAGAAAAGTAACCAAGCATGAGAAAGTTTTGCATTACAGTTTTGATATGTGACTCATTCGACGTATAGAGAAGTTTGATATATATCATTTAAATTTAAAGATTTTATAATTAGCCAGTAAGTTGCAGAATGTTTTAATTCATTTAACCTCAAAATCGAAGACAAAACAAATTAAGAAAAACTAATTGTGAAACATAAGATGTAATGTAAGGAGTACGTTCTAAGTCGTTTCAAATGTAATTAATTTTGAAACAAAAAAAAGAGTGTAATTTTTTGCCTGGCCAATCAAGTCAATACCATGTCGACGTAGTTAATCTTGGACAAAGTTAGTCTCGGAGTCACATTCCACAACATTACTCCTTGGCCCTGAAGATCCATCACCTTGCTCGTATCGTTTTTGAAACCTATATATGTGTAGATTCCAAATACCAATTTGAGTATAAAACAATACTT